TCTCACGGAGGGGCGAGGGAGGGGGGGGGGACACAGGAACAATTCAGCAAGAGAAACAAAGGGAATATATCTTTTATCGATATTTTGAGACAGAAGTAAAATAAAAGGGAAATTTTACAATATAAAAAAAGCTAAACGCCATTGTTTTCTGAATAGTTTTCACTGGTGCAATTTCATAGGTCAACGTATGAGTCTCTCGGTAAATTAAAGGGTAAGAAAGCATATGCAAATATAATGACGTTCAGAGAATATCAGACGTAAATTCGGAAAATTTTTGTCAGCACACATCTCGGAAAGTTTCATCCTCCGATGTTCTACCTTTAAAAAAACTATAGTTTTTCATTAAGATTTATATGGGTGCGAAACTTGGTTCCTCTCACTAAAGGGAAAGAATATTGACTTACGTGTATTCATGTGAAATTAAGCCTTGATAATTCAGTCAGCTAAGTTCCTGGCTACGGTTTGGACGGACAGGGTTCGATTCCTGGTAGGATTTCGTCCTTCGCTCGCGTCCAGACCGGCTCTGGGAGACTTCTATACGAGCTGTAGACCATCTTTTATTATTTAGTGTTCTGTCTGACGACAGGTCCATATGAACAGGATCCTTCCATCCTTTTCTCGGACTGGGACCTGTTCATATACGTTCTTGGCAGATAATCCAGAAGTGGTTTGCCATTGCCTTCTTCTGTGTGTGAATGGAGTAATTGTTGGGATGCCACGGAGGAAAACTCCGCGTTGCCTAGACCACGGCCTTGCCCAACACAAGTTATAAATTCGGGACACAAAATGACTGAAGCTTGCACTTAAGCACTTGCCTCAAGCTTTTTCAAGCTCCAGAATTATTAATTAGGCTACACCGCCACGCCCCCATACCATGTGTGTAACTTTGCCTTAGACTTCCGAAATGCCAGATTTAACTACGCATCAAAATTAAGCGAAACGGTCGCTGATAACATCGATAAGTGTGAACAGAGTTGTAACGCGTGCCCGACTCATTCTTTGTGTTAGAATTACTGACTTTATTGCCTTCCGATCGCCTGGCTGAGTGACCCGGTGGCTGTCTTCATTAACTGACTCAGTAACTGGTTAACAGTTGTAACTTTTAACAGGTTATAAAGTTTAGAAGAATAAGAAAAAGAATAGAAAAGAAATAAAATGAGCCAAAATTTACGTAAGGGCTGAACGTCATGACCGCCAGAGCAATGAAACCCTCTGACAGCGTAAGAGGTGTTCAGCCATAATGAGTATCGATTCTAGAGGTCGGAGACAGACGGAGAGAGACAGAAATCGTGCGCAGAACAAATTTCGGTTGTTTCACAAACACTCGGCCTGCGGTGGAGTTTGATTCTGCGAATTGAAAAAGCCAATTAAAAACAAGTTGTTGTTTTTTTTCAATAACTGACAGACTTCAGTTTGAAATTCAGATCCTGAAAGCCGTGAGTAAAAAATCTTCTGGGGTATTGCGCCTTGCAGTCTGGTATAAATTTTCCGACGTTTCAGAGTACGATGAAGGAAGCAAGTATATCTAAAACGTCGGTAGACTTCAACCAGACTATACGCAGAAAAGAAAACCAGACGATACACTTCTTCATGAACCTATCGGTTCTCCGCTTCAATAATTCAACAGTGTGTGCTGTGGGGCTGTCTAACGTACTCAGTCTCTTTGGGATGAGATCTGTGCGTTCAGTTTCTGAATAAATGAAGTTGCAAATTTAACTTGAAGAGACTGGCAAATAAAGAGAAACACTGGCTGGGGAATCCCTTCATGGTTCGTATCATATAACGTACAAATTCACCATAAACATATAAAATAAACCATAAGATTTCAATTCGTTGTTACAGACGATAAATTCAGTAAAAAGCAGCTTAAATTGACATTAAACTACACCAGAATCAACCCACTAAGAACACAGAAAACAAAGACTGATAACACGAAGAAATTAGATCGCTGACTGTGAAAAATTAACCCGGAACAGACATTGAAAGCTAAAGATCAATGCGAATAAAATTCGCCAGCAGCTCAGAACTTCAAAAGAATGAAAGAAATAATTAACTGATTTGCATACTGAATACGTAGCCGTGTTAATCTACTGACAGATCATGTTCTTTCTCAATTGCGAGATGAATTCAACTAGTTCAGCGACTAATCGCCACAAAGAAGGCGTGTCACGTGACCTATGACTTATTACTCGCCGTTCCATCATGTGGAAGAAATCGTTTTAAATTTTCATGAGAGAGAGACACAGTGGAGTTTTGAGCAGCTTTAAGCATCTCGTTCTCAAGGCTTGTTTGGCTTCTAATTAATGTGACTGAGACACCTGGTGGGAGGTATATCAATTAAGGACAACTTTTTGTTTTGATAACAAAGGTCCAGAGGGAAATTCAGTACGCTAATTAACAAGTACAACGCGATTTATTATACTTTCTAGCTTCCTCTGAGTTTTCTTTTATTACATTTATTTATTTATTTATTTCTGTTCTCCCACTTTTCATTAATTTATTTTTCACTTTATTCATTCTCTCCAGCCTTTCTTTCTCTATCCTTATCTCGAAACTATCTTACATAAAAATTAATCTTAATGACAGGTAACTAATTAATCATTGACATTCTTCGGAAAATGTAGTCTTACTTCCGATGCCACTGATTATTTGTATTATCTGTACGCTTTTTACAGCGTCACTATCTAACCTCGCCATTATTTATCCCTACGAAGCCGAAGTTTGTCTACACAATATTTAAGAAATGAGTCCGTACCGCAAAGAAAACACAGCACCTTGCCATTACAAGGATCAAATGATTGATGTTATTTAAGGAAATGATCGTTGTTTATTATGAGAATCGCTCAAAAACACAGAAATAAAAAATATATATATAAGAGTTCCTGGCTGTTAAAAATCGGGTGGGACATATACTCGTAATTTCCTCTGGAATTTAAATGGTTAATTTACTGTATATATTCAAATATGTGTTCCGATTTTTGGAAACACCCACTGTTACATCGAATTTCAGGCACCGGTTCTGACACGCTTCGTGGAACAAGGCACTCAAGAGAATTAAAGGGCAGTTTAAAGTGAAATTTGTTCGAACTTCGTCTAAAATCTTAGAGCAGAGTCACCAACTTCACTCCTGCCACCTTTTCATTTCTCCCTTCGCGTGAGACGACGTATTTCGACCGTTCCAGCACTGAGTGAGTGGAGGTGTTCGCTCCTGTGCAGCAGATTCACTCAACCGAAACAAAAATCAGACGAAATGTTTACTAACTGAATGTGAATCTTCATTCCAGCTTCTGTATTCATCGAATTTCTTCCAATATTTATCCAGCCTTGAAAAACAACTCCCATATACACCCTTATTCGTATACTTCTTGTATTACGTATGCATGTGTGTATACGTACGTCATATTTTTTTTTATATTTTCTTTATCTTATTGGATTGCTGAAAGGCAAAGAAAGGTGTGCCACTTTCTTTGATTCCTCCTGTACCGCGCGAAGATCGTCTAATGGCAGAATATAAATTACTCGTGCAATTTTCATTGTTGCAGATAACTTCCTTAATTTTAATTGGCGATAAAGTTCAGAGTTTCAGAAGCAGAGAATAATCTAAACTTGAGTGATCGCATTTCAATAGGTGGGGTGGGGAGATACGAGGATGCGACAATTAATTTCCAACAGTGAAGGTTATCTCACCGAATCGCTGCCTTCGACTTGAAATCAAATTATCACTGCTTCGCCATCATCTTGAATTTCACGATGATGCATATTTCGGCGGGGGGGAGGTGGGGTGGGGAACCAGCTCCTTTCATATGATCGCATTTCAGCTGGAACCGTCTATACAGTATTAAGAACTACACCCTTTCCATACTCGTAGCTAAAACTCAAATATTCTCAAAAGCACAGAGCGTGGGTACATGAATATACTGAGTATTATCTGAATATAATCTATCTATTGATCCTTTATCCACGTACAAGTCCAGCTAACCCCCACCCCCCTCCACTTTGGACATCAGTTTACACACATGTATCACGTATCATAAACGCGTAATACATTAATCCTTCGGAACCCTACAGTATTTCAGTTTGATAATTAATGTGCTCTCGCTCTTTTTTCTGTGTGTGTGTCCTTGGCGCTTGCGTATTTGCTACAGACGCTCTCGGCAATTGGGTGATGCAGCAACCAGGGATCGACGCCGACAAAACAAACAGACATAAATCCGGTGTCTGGTTTCAACACGCGACAACTAACTGTGTTGGTCTGTCAGTGAGTCCATTACAATACGCCAACAGCTCGTCCTCAGTCCACGTTTCTCGCTGAGTCCTTTGAAGTCGAGGGTCCTCTAACCAAAATTAAAACATCAAACTCCTGTCGCGAAATAAATACCGCACGTCTCCATGACAACGATCAACTGGTTAACGCTGTTAAAGGAAATAATCGCTGTTTAAACTAAGGACCATACATCTACATTCTGTAGAGTTATTATTATTATTTAGTGTTCTGTCTGACGACAGGTCCATATGAACAGGATCCTTCCATCCTTTTCTCGGACTGGGACCTGTTCATATACGTTCTTGGCAGATGATCCAGAAGTGGTTTGCCATTGCCTTCTTCTGTGTGTGAATGGAGTAATTGTTGGGATGCCACGGAGGAAAACTCCGTGTTGCCTAGACCACGGCCTGGCCCAACACAAGTTATAAATTCGGGCACCCGAGACCCCAGGATTACAAGGCCAGCGTTCTAACCGCTAGACCACCGTGGCTATTCTGTAGAGTTACAGATTATTAAAGCCGTCACTGGGGTTTCAAGTGTTAATGTAAAAGAACAGATTTTACAGCCATGTTAAACGGCATGTAAAATTGTAGTCCCTACGACCGCTGAGTGTCACGTCCTTTTAACACGTGTCGTCCATCCCCGAAAGCAGTCCCCCTGGAAACAACATCCTCTCAGAAGTCCTTTCGTCTACAACAAATTGTACGTCGTAAAAACATTGAATCTGAATACTTACAGCCATGTCAGTCTCGACCTTCTGACATCACCCAGCTGCCCCACGTCAGTGCTGCTGATCGCTCCTGGAGGGAGATAAAAAAAGAAGGACGATTATTATCGAAGGCATGATTTTCAGGATTATGTAAACAGAACTTAACTGGTTTGTTGACAAACATTCGCTTTCGGTTCCCAAAATAAACCGCTATCGAATGCTTTAATGATAATTTCATGTGTTTCCTTGAAAGAAGGAAAAGAAAATTTTAAATACGGAATTATTCAAATGCCTCGGATGTTTCCGCTCCGTGTAGCAAAGAAGAGCTATAACACATGAAAATGATGATTTAAAAAAAATAACACAGTAAATTTAGCCGTTCGTTGCCAAACTTTTCTCTCAAAATAAATTACAGGTCTTAATGAAATTATTGCTTGCTACTTCTCAGTTCAAAATATTTTGTCTTCCCGTCTGATTTCTAAGAACCTGAAAATTCGAATATACAAAACAATAATCTTGCCTGTTGTTTTGTATGGGTGCGAAACATGGTCTCTCACTCAGAGGGAGGAACACAGATTGCAGGTGTTTGAGAATCGGGTGTTGAGGAGGATATTTGGGCCTAAGAGGGAAGACGATGGGGCGTGGAGAAAACTGCACAATGACGAGCTTAAAAATCTGTACTCCTCCCCCAATATTGTCAGGGTGATTAAGTCGAGAAGA